GGGGGGGGGGGGAGGTTTTCCGACGGGATATGTGCGCTTGTGAAGTTTAGTCAGTCTATATTCTTCGACTTGAAAGAGAATAGGGGAAAACAAAAAACCTAAACTGTTTTAATTTTATAGTCAATTTTATTTGGTGGGAATGTAGCACGCACAAGCTCTAAAGAAAGGGGGAGGGGGGATACAGTCGATCCGATTTAAATATTCGACCTATATATTATTTGGAAATATTACGCGGGAAAGTCTCACGGTGAACATGAAATAAGACAATTTTTGTTCTTACATTTTTTTCTTGTAAGGAAACATGATATTTTTTGTAGCCATATCCTATTTGACAATGCAAAGGGCGCGTGTCATGCAGATTTGGAAGAGAATAAAAAGTACGTCTTACCTGATTATACAGTACGTGTTTAAATTGGAAAAGTTCAAATGAAAATATTTCAACACGACGAACAGAAGAGTTTTTATGTTACCACTTATCTTAAACAGATTATCGTCGATTGCCAAAAAATGAAAAACAAACCTTTCACAGCATCGTCATCTTCTATTGTGCTTCTATCAGTAAACAAAGACTGCATCCATCTTCGTCTGCCAGGTTTCTTGTACATGTTATCTCATGATATATATATACTTTCATGTATATTATTAACATGTACATTTATGTTATGTATTAAATTTTTATTGTGCATTTTTTCGAGTTTTTCGTTACAATAATGTTCTACAAATTGGGTTATCAAAGGAGTGCGTTTTATGCTGGATGTTGCTTATTCCTAATGTTTCTGTTGTTTCTGTGTGGAATTTGCCTATATCTGAATCCGATTCAGTTGCAATGATCCGTGCCATATAGTATACATGGTATCACAAACGATGCTCTGTCTAATCTGTATAAATGTGTCAATGTATTCCCAGATATCCAAATCATGTAAGTCCACATGAATGCTTTGATGACTGGAAGCAAGCTTCCTGGTTTATTTTCTGTGTGTGTATGGCAGGCCTGTGCATCCTTTCCACAACCGCGGGTCCACATTTCCCTCAAATTTTACATGACGCAGCGGGTCGCAAGAAATCATTCCGCGTTCGCAGTTGGCCCGCGGACCGTAGGTAGCACAGGCCTGGAACAACATGGATTATCTTACACAAGAATCTCCTCAGATCCTGTGCGACAGGATTTTATAGAATACTAATCCCGACAGTTGTCACGCTCAGAATTGCTAGTAGATGCGAAAGAAAAGATAGCTTGCCAGGCAAGGTAACATACGCCCGCTACCAGCTGTCAGAAATGGTGGCTTAATAATGAGTTTTCGAGTAATCTTAAAATCATCTTTAAGTCAAGGCGAAAACATGAAACAGTTCATCAGATTATCATTAAATGTCTCATCGCTGTACACACAAGGACAACAACTCCGTTCTTCCTATTAATACCAATGTCAAGGGCAATAACTTTGAAATGATTCATCAGATAATACCAATTTCGAACTTGAGATCCCATCAATTATGTACATGCAATTTCAAATCAGATAAAACCTGTAGTCTCTATCGTGCCTACAAGCCATATTTGACACGTTTTTAAGTCAAGGGTAATAACTCTGAAACCATTCATCCGATTATTACCAATTTTGAACTTGATTGAGATCTCATCAATATATACATGCATACCAAGTTTCTTCAAGATTGGGTAAAAACTGAAGACTCTATAACGCCTAAAGGGCGATTTCGAACGCGATCCCATCAATATATACAAGCTTACCAAGTTTCATTAAGATCAGATAAAAACTGTAGTCTCTATCGTGCCTACAAGTCAAATATGACACGTTTTTAATAAGTCAAGGGCAATAACTCTCAAACCGTTCATCCGATTATTACCAATTTCGAACTTGACTAAGATCTCATGAATATTTAAATGCATGCCAAGTTTCATCAAGATTGTTTAAAAACTGTAGCCTCTATCACGCCTACAAGAAATGGGTACGGACCGACGGCAATATACGACCACATTTCCATGTAGGCGTATAAAAAGAATGAAATAATATATCGACGTAAATGAAACATATTGGAGGATATTGGATCCGTAACATAGTCAAATATGTAAAATATAACATGAACGCAATTAAGTCATTGGTAGACATCGTGAATGAATGTTTCAAACTTGATTAGTTCTCGTGTTATTGCCCTTGTCCTTGATTATGATGATGAAACCTCTTATTATATACTTTGCCATTGAGATATTCTACTCATAATTAAAGTATTATAAACTTCATGTAAACCTCTTATGATGCAGATTTTTTACATTGTTTTCTCCTGATACAAAGGGTAGGCCTAAAGGATAATGATAAGTAGCCCTAAAGGATTTAACACATTGTTTATGTTCATTTTTAAAGTAGGGCACCCCATTTTTAAACTGTGCCAAATAGAACATCATTAATCCATGTTGACCTGCCCTTCATCTGTTCTGGCTCACTTCTTGAAACTCACGATGAATTTTCTCTTTCGCGCCAAATTTTCAAGATGACGACTAGACAGACGTGTGGTGAAAATACTTGAATTCCGCCTACTATTTAGCCGTCTGGAAGTTTCAATTACTCGACTTATAAGGTTTATGAGCCAGATGATTCTGGGTATTCGAAACTATTCGTCTGTACGAAATTTTTCAGGGTCTTTTTCTTAATGCCATCATTTATTGTGCCAAATATATTAAGGTCAATTGCAGAAAGCCGTGTCATTTGTAGGTTATATTTATTTAGAGAAAAATACTTAACCGAAAAACAACAAAAACAAAATCTCTACCAGCAGTTTGACTTCCATCTGATTAAAATACAGATTTAGATACCTGTTTTATGAAGGGGTTACTTGGTCTACTTCAACATTCCATATCTGGTCACCTTCTGTCAATATTTTGTCTGATGGCGAAGCAAGTGTATTGATTTTGTATGGGTGAATGGTATGCCACACCATAACGGGTTCACCTCCATCAGCAACTGTCTTCTATATTTCCTGAGGGTTGAGTGCTTTGTTTGGAAGACGTTGTAGACCTATACGTAAACTGACCGTCCGCATCCTAGATAAATACCTTGATTCATAGGATCAAAATGACGCGACGCCATAGTACAGAATATTCAAATGTTGACGTGCTTGCGAGCTCATGCAAGACGAAGACATAATTATGTCAGTTCGTCTGGGCACTAACAGACGTTTGTTTTCCAACTCCCGCGATTGAATCCTGTCGGAGACGAATGCTTCCTGGGCTGCTATAGCCTACGTAGTAGACGCCTGTCATCTCTCAAATTGGTCATTTCGTGTCGACCTCGACTAGAGGTAGGCGACCTCGACTTCACCTGTAGGCTAGTCCTATCGCGATGGTTTTTTCCCCAAGAAAACTGCAAATCACGCCGTGACAGAGATTCACTCGCCTTGCAAATTGTGGCACGGACATGCCACCTTGCCTTATGCAAACAGCTTGCCATTTCGTAGCTTCTGATAACTGATGACGATCCATTTTAATGCATCACAAATCTCTACACCACTGCTTTCGAAACAGCTTTTTTACAAATGTGTAGGCCTAGCCTACTTGATTGAACACACATATTTTTGTTTGCGTGTGAATTTTGTTTTCTGAATTAGAATATAAGTAGGCCTATCAGTATAATATTTAGCCTATTAGGCTATATTAACCCTTGGATAGCAATATTAGGCAAATAATGGTCTGTTTTTGCTTTTAATCACGTAGGCCATAGGCCTATGGCAGAATAACTGACATCATAGTAGCGTAGTATGATATTAGGGATTTAGGCTACGTAGGCTACCTAAACTTAACGTTAGGCCTACCCCTGTTGTGTTTGCTACACTAAGCGAAGCTTTAGATTAAAAGTATGGAACGGTTTACATAGGCTACAAATATTTATAAATTTATACCCTACGATTTCATTCAGATCTAGCAGTAGGTCTAGGCCTATGTCTAAAAAGCTTAAGATTAAGCAGGAATTAACATTGCTCTAATTGTTTTGTCACGACGGCGTCAATGTTGGAAGAACCTAGACGGGGTAACACCATAAACTGATCCGCCATTCCATCAAAAATAAGAACCTACGCCCCCTTTTCACTGATCTAAGTCTATATAAATATTTATATAGATCAGTGCCCCTTTTGCCTCAAGTAGATCTATTATTATGACGTCATCAAGAAAGCGAAATGACGTCATTGAATGCTTAACAACACCACGTCAAATCTTATCAATATGGCGACTTCCTGTTGTTTTGATCTTGATTTCAACGGATTTTATTAAAACAGAATTAAAGTTTTTTTTACATACCACAGTGAAGAAAAACACACAGATATTGGTAAGTCAAGAGTTTAATTACCTGATGATACAGTCATAGATCCAACATATCCAACATAGGCCTATTCAAACTAGCCTATCTATTTATGGCTTTATTTTAAAGATGGGTTTCCTTATTTTTAGTGTCAAATTAAGCAAACTATTTGATTTGTTGGTGTTTCTAATGAAGTTCACGTATTCTTAATCATATCATTATGTTATTATTGCATATAATTAAGAGTTTTAACCAGTAATCAGTCTCCATGTATTTGTATACGTACAGTCTGGATAAACCCCAAAAGACTTTTTAACCTTCCTGATCGGCCACTCATTGAAATTCTGCTGGTAATTCTCTTCTAATTGAGCTAATTATGAATTAATTATGGACATGTGAGACAAACTGTATTTTTCGAAGTCATTAGAACACCTCTACTTTCTATTCATATATATATAGGTATTTAGCATTTTCATTTTCATAATGAAAATAAGGGAACCCATCTTTAACTAAACCTACTACTACTACCAGTGGGCCTACTAATATGAGTACTAGCCTACTACTAGTTAAATATAAATTTCGAATCAAAACAGGCCTAGATCTAGATCTACTATGGGTTTGGCTTCTACCGTTCGGGTACATCATCTAGAACTTACAATGATGGTCATGTCCTTTTTTTGTAAGTAGATCTACGTTTTAATATTATTAAGGCTAATTGTAAACTTATTTATTACGTTCATAGGTTTAACTTTACAGGGGTATTTTCCCTTTAATAAGTACCGGTAGATTATCAGAGGCTAGAAGCGTTGTTAAGTTTCGGACTACACTATGCCTACAACACTCATCAAAAAAACAATAAATCTTGTTACCATATTTAAATTTTTACTACGATAAACTGGTGATGTAGCTTTGTTTTAAGAAGATGAATGATTTTATGGGTTTATTTTTGGCATACTCCTCTCCTAAATAGAAATAACCTTTTGATAAGAATCTAATTCTAAAGTTTGTAAAGTTATTTAAGTATGAAGTTATGGGCTTTTGGAGTTGGTTCCATCACGAACTTTCTATCAGTCATATTATTATTAATAAGCTTTTAAATTTCTGTTACCGGGTGCACTTTTTTTTAACTTAGAATTCATCCTAGAAGTATCACTAAGTGTTTGCCATAGTACAATCAATTCAGCCACACTTTCTTGTACCTAACCAGTATTAACCATGAGACGACTCCAAATAAAATAAACAAAAAATCATAGAGAAATTTCCGATCAGACCCGAAAAACTTGACATATTACCAGAATAATAACGACTATACTTTGATGATAGACTATTTAAATGTTGTTTTATATTCTATTTTCATAAAAGTTCGCTTAAAAATATGTCTGATCAAAAACGCTCCTTCATTTCCAAAAACAATTCCGGTACAATTTAAATTTAACGATCCAAATCTATCGATCTTAAAGTTCGAATTCTCTACTATGGTGTATGATTCAATGTAAACTATCACCAAAATTTTAAAAGTTAAAATTGTATATTACAGAATTGCCAAGGTTGTGACGATTATGTGGAATGAAGATCCATGAGTTGCCATGCTTACTGTCGATGTTACTCCTTGTTTTTGTGGGCCAGGTACATCATATGAAAGTGGTAGTATGTCCCAGAGAATGCTCTAGAGATGAAGAAACTTTAACATGTAATGGTATCACAAACGATGCTCTGCCTAATCTGTATAAATGTGTCAATGTATTCCCAGATATACAAGTAATGTAAGTTCACATGAATGCTTTGACTGGAAGCAAGCTTCTTAGTTTATTTTCTGTGTGTGTATTGAACAATGGTATCACAAACGATGCTCTGCCTAATCTGTATAAATGTGTCAATGTATTCCCAGATATACAAGTCATGTAAGTTCACATGAATGCTTTGACTGGAAGCAAGCTTCTTAGTTTATTTTCTGTGTGTGTATTGAACAACATGGATAATCTTTTACACAAGAATCTGGCTAAGATGACTACCATTTATTGCACAAAACAGTAAAAGGTGTAGGCCTACTTTCTGACGATCTACGCTCATAATATCGTTTAAAATTGTTTTAGACGCTGTTTAGGTTTAGTTCTATTTTGAGCAAGTTTTGTTCTTCTGGTGCAGGTTCTTCAATATTTGAAGAAACTACAAGTGATCAATACTATATTATTTTCCAGTGATATAAGAAGCTCTATCACTTGTGATTGCAGTTTACTATATTTAACAAATCATCATGTTAATCCTAATTTACTGGTCTTTGCTCCTGTCACCTGTCCACAGGATACAGTTGCTGCTTGTGGTAAGTGATTGTGTGTCAAGAAAAACCCCAGCTACTTGACCAACACGATTTACTGAGGCTTATTGTTTTCTTTCTGATAATCCGATGCTTATAATAAAACTCAGTTCAAATTACCATGAGCAATAAAAAAATAATGTCTTCAGTAAGCTTATTTCAATAAATAGCAGAAATGTGATAGATGTAAAACAGTAAAACCCATTTGTAATATTACAATAGCAGTGGCGACTCGATGCCTAAAAGGTTAAAGTTCGGACTAAGTGACGAATTGATTTTTGACATTTTACTGCTAAACAACCGGAATGAAATCGTATATTTAATTTGTTCACTATATGTTTTAGGTTTTGATCATTCCAAAAAGAAATCAGATATGGTGGAAATAGCAGGAAAGATGTTCGAAATTCAGGACGAGGATTTACCCAATAAAGTAGATAAACACGTAGAGGATCTTGTCAAGAAACTGGGTCAGGTTCTAAACTCAAAGAAACGACTTCAGTACATTCATGCAATTTTTTTGAGTACAAAGGAAGCGATTGGGAAATTAACACATTTGCAGGACAGTTTATCACAAGTGTCTACGAGTAGCAGTCCAGCCACCACAAGCACACCAACTTCAACCCAAGGAGTTCAGATCCCTCGATACCCATCTAACTCAAATCCATTCTTCAGTATATACAAAAAACCACATTTGTTGTCCAGCAAGACTGTAGGCTACGTCCAACAGCCTCACAACCATCAGGAAGCATATCCATTCCAAGTTCATGTATTCCATCATGGTCCAGCCAATGATGACAAAGTTCAATTAAAGCTGCCCTTTAACCAACCAACACAAACAACTACCCTACAAAATCCGACTCCCACAGCCCGGTCTTGGTCATACGATCGTTCTTATGTTCATCAGCCTCATCACCGAACTGATGTTGTTCCAATTCAAGTAAATATACCATATCATACGAGTAGTGATACAGAATCCATAGGGAACCCAGAGTCAACTACACATAGAACAACTTCGACCGTACAGTCAACAACAGGCACATCACATTCAGTATTAACTAGAAAAAGGCCACATATTGCTCCGCATCGACCTCCATTTGGAGCTCCTAGCGGACCTTTTATGCCGTACTACGGGAAGCGCCTTCTACCAGGGTATAGGCGGCCAAATGGGCATCATAAACGTATACTTGCATCAGAGGAAGCGAGCTGGTACAAGAATCCCTATTACTATAATCCAGAAGGTAAGGGTGTAATAATATCATTGCAATGGGCACAGAGTCAAATTCATTGGAATATTGAAATAAAAAATATTCATCATCTTTATGGTCAATATCATTTATAACATTTACTGATTCTGAACTTTCAGTGGGCGCTCGCTAGGGGTCAAGGGTTCAATCCCGGCATAGGGGGAGATAATACCTTCGGATTTTTCATCCCGGTTTCCCCCTGTCATTGATGCAGGTAAGAGGGGCTGACATGGAAAAAGCATTTAGTCGTTCGGATGGGGCAATAAACCGAGGCCCTGTGTGCTACAGGCTGTGCACGTTAAAGATCCCTCGACAGTTGGAAATCGAAAAAGAGCAGGCTAATGCCGCTGTCCTTGCAAAATTTATCTCATCGCACCCTGCATGGCGTTGCCCGTCTTCATTAGCCCACATGGTGCAGAAAAACGTAAAACTTCATTCATTTCATATCAATCCTGAACGTTCAGTGCCTTTTTCGACTATAATGTTTTTTCGACTGTAAAGGGGAACTGGATCCCAGGTTGAACGGGCTCTAGGGTATATTATCTGTATATTTCGATCGAGATAAAAACGTCAGGTTCAACAGTTTACTGCATAATCTTATATACGGTGATCATAATGTTTTTTCTTCAGGTCTTTGGAATTTAGCCAGAACGTCAACAGCAGCAACAACCACTGAGGTAAAGTTTGCTTTTTTTTTTTTGAAAGAATGCATACGGGAACTAAACTTGAGAATTAACTCGATTTGATCCTGGCCAATCTAATTATAATGCAAAATTATGAATGACCTGTTTGGGTGGTAGCCTATTCATTTTTAATTTCAGTCTTTAGCTGAAGAAATTCGTGAAAATGACACTAGGATGAAACTGATTATATTTGGTTCTATCATAGCCTTTATAGTTCTGGTTATAACGATTATACTTGTTATTATTGTAAGTAAAGTTTTTATTGTCAATGTTTGTGCTGTAAGTATTTTTAGTTTAATCGGGTTGATTATGGATTTGTCCGGATTGTAGATTAGAGGGTGTATCAGTTTATTGATAATTTTATATGAAAGGAAGCTCTTTGATCCTCACCCCCTCGTTGAACGATTTGCTTTTGGGTCTCATTTCTAAGTATTATCAAAAAGTTCCACTCTTGAAATAATATTCATTATTATTGTCTGTATGGTATTACATAATTATAACATTTTACATAATGTAATATTATGTATCTATTTTTAGAACGGTGGTAAAGGTACAGATAATAGTAAACATCAGCATGGCGATCTCGACTTGGAAAGTTTTAAGCAGACTATAACACTTTGGAAAAAATTGAAAGGAAAGATGCAAGTAGACTATCGCCGACGGGAAACAACCGGAAAGCATACTACTCCAAGTAGAAAGACATCTAGAGCTCTCAAAGAGACAGAGATTATCAAGCAATCTCTTCAAAACATGCCACAAACTAATCTATTACAAACGGTAAGAGATCACGGGATTCCCGTTTTACGCCCGTGCAAATGTTTAAGTGAAATTGATCACACCAGTGTAATTGGTTACATCTATAGGTAACAGTCACGTAGATCTAACTATATACAAGAAAACCAGAAAAGTGGTTCTGTATAATCGTACATTATTTAAAAAAATAACGGACAGCAATGATTTGTATCCTTACTGAATAAACTGATCTGGGTCTCGGGACATCTAGAAGCCACTTTTCCGATAATGTTTGTAATTTGTGGCTATACAGGGCCGTAATAAGGGTCATTTTTATTATGAGTTTTGTCTTTCATCGCAACGCTTTCCGTACACTTTAAACTGTAACCACCTGAACCGTAGACATCAACATATTTAGCTGGTAAACTGTTTGATAGGAATTTAGTGATTGACACGAATAGAATAAATAAGTCTTTATGGATAACAATCACTTTATTTCTAAGAAATAATGCCTAGGACATATATAGTAAAAATGCGTCTTGTCTTTTTATTGTTTTGATTTGTTTCTAAGGTATTAATATTTTGCCAATTTCTTTGTGTTGTCGGTATAGGTCTAGATGTTTTGCAACTGCTGAGGTATTACTGCTGGCTTTAGGTTTGTGTTCCGGTATTCTAAGGTTTTAGGGGCTTGGTCAGGTTATGTGACTTTTGGTTTATCTGCATTATTGTTCTGTTTATGATTTTTTCCACCATTCCTTGTGAATATCCCTTAGTATGGCTATAGAGGAGGTTTTGGAACTGGTCGGTTGGATGGAACTATAGTAAATATATTAGTCAATGTACGTTGACTTCCCATAGACTGCTGTTTTTATACGCCCACACGTAAGATGGGCGTATATTGTAATCACCACGTCGGTCCGTCCGTCCGTCCGTTCACATTTGGCTCGTGCTCACTCTACAGGCTACAGTTCTTTATGGATTCTTTTGATTTTTATTTTGTATGTCAATGTTGTTATGAAGATGATCCCTATTGATTTTCGTGATGATCGGATAATTTTTCACCGAAATATCGTGTCTGACTTGACGTTTTTCTCTATAAGCTATATTGTGCAACTCGTGCTCACTCTACAGGCTACAATTTTTTACAGATTCTTTTAATTTTTATTTTGTGTGTCAATGTCATTATGAAGATGATCCCTATTGATTTTCGTGATGATCGGATAATTTTTCACCGAAATATCGTGTCTGACTTGACGTTTTTCTCTATAAGCTATATTGTGCAACTCGTGCTCACTCTACAGGCTACAATTTTTTACAGATTCTTTTGATTTTTATTTTGTGTGTCAATGTCATTATGAAGATGATCCCTATTGATTTTCGTGATGATCGGATAATTTTTCACCGAAATATCGTGTCTGACTTGACGTTTTTCTCTATTAGCTATATTGTGCAACTCGTGCTCACTCTACAGGCTACAATTTTTTACAGATTCTTTTGATTTTTATTTTGTGTGTCAATGTCATTATGAAGATGATCCCTATTGATTTTCGTGATGATCGGATAATTTTTCACCGAAATATCGTGTCTGACTTGACGTTTTACTCTATTAGCTATATTGTGCAACTCGTGCTCACTCTACAGGCTACAATTCTTTACAGATTCTTTTGATTTTTATTTTGTATGTCTATGTCGTTATGAAGATGATCCCTATTGATTTTCATGATGATCTATCGATTTTCATGATGATCGGATAATTTTTCACCGAAATATCGTGTCTGACCTGACGTTTTACTCTATTAGCTATATTGTGCAACCCTGTAGTCACTAAAGACTGTTTAATCATTTATGACATCTGCCAGTGGGCGTATGTTAACTTGCCTGGCAAGCTATCTTTAATTTATATTGTTATTTGTGATTAATATATCTAGAAAGGGTTTTTTCTGTTTCTATGGTGAACTGAATTCTGCGATGGTGACTATTTGGGTGTTGCAGTAGAACCATTGGCTCATCAGTTTTTCCTGACCAACATTTTGGTTTGATGGATGAGCTCTCCAGGCCCATTTCCTCGAAGGATTCCATGATTTAATTCTTCTTTTCATTTATGTTTGCTGAATTACCATTTTTTTTTACTATTTTCATAAGTAGAATTAAATGATAATTCAGCAAACAAAAATAGCAAATAGTAAACAAAAATGATGATTTCAGCAAATTCGAATGACAAATAAGTCATATTAATTCATAATTCAGCAAATAAAAATGAAAAATAAATAGAATTAAATGATAATTCAGCAAATAAAAGGAGAATTAAATCATAATTCAGAAAATAAAAATATCAAATAGTAAACAAAAATGATAGTTCAACAAACAAAAATGAAAAAAATAAAAAAATAAAAAAAAGCATAGAAAATGGTAAACATAAATTTTAATTCAAAAATCAAAAACGAAGGATAAGTACAATTAAATAATAATTCAACAAACAAAAATGATAATTCAGCAAACAAAAATGAATAAGAATTGAATTAAATCATTTAAAAAGAAATTAAACCGTAAGTTTCATTATATTAAACTTATTGTTACGTTTTTCAGGCCGGTAATGATGCCGCAGCAGTATCTGGTTTAACTACAGCAATCACACAACAACCTGCTTTACAACATACTACACCCAAATCAGAAAGGCAGATAGATAAACTCCATAAAATGAAGCCCACGCGTCCAATAGGTCCAGATGGATTTCAAACCAGGCTGATCTATCGAGATCACAATCATCATACTCGCAATCTTGCTACTGTAGCTCTCGCCGTAATGGACAAATCCAAATCTAAAAATGCTCAGCAAATACAGCCCTCAAGTTCTTCCGATTCAAGCTCGAGTTCCACAAAAAACCCTGAAGTGACTGATTCACAATTACCTACTAGTAAAAAATCAGAACCTGGACAACAAGTGAATAATACTGATAAAGAAGAACAGAGGAATGTTGCTCCTGAATCCTCTGAGGAAGGCTTGTTTGCGAGCAATTTAATGAAAAAAGATGTTGAACCAACAAAACCCCCAGTCGACCAGCCATTGAAATCAAAAATTTTTGTTGATAAAACTTTTGGCACCCCTACTTCAACTGATGGCCAATCAGATAATTTCGGTGCCAGAAAAGCTGTCAAGACATTTCAACCAAAATCACAAGAATTGGTGAGTTTTTTAAGTTTCCAATCATAACCCAAGACCATTAAAGAATGAACCTTTCTCAAACATCTTTAACATGTATTCCACAAAAAAAAAAACAAGTCACCTTCTATTTTGAGGATCTTATTTCATATAACTCTAATTAGATATACTGAATAATCCAATTCGGGGTGGCTCCCCTTACAATCTGTTTCTTCTTCATAATTTAGGGTCGCGGAGGAAGACTAATGGGCGTGGGAGACAATAAGTATTTTGAAGTCACATGTACTTTCATGGACTTCCAAGAGCGTGAAAGATCAAGAGCAGTAAGAAAAAAGAAATTGGCACGTGCTCAATTCCTGGCTTAAAGTTTCACTGCTACTGTTTAAGGGTAAGAATGAGAAGTAATGTTTTTAATGTAAATCATTTCGTATATTTTGAATAAAAAACATAGTTAGATGAATGAATATTAAAGCTAGCAAGTGATAGTGAAACTTTAAGTGCAGGTTATGCAGCTTTTGGATGTTGATTTCTTAATGCTTCCTTAACCTAATGGTTTTGAATTCAGAGAAATATTTTGTCATATTGTGTATTTATCAATTACAGGAGATGAAGAAGAAACTTATTCATCAACGCCGTAAATCTACTGGGGGTGGATTCTCTGATGATGACAATTGAACATAACTTTTCAAATATGTCCAATGGATGAAAAGACTGTTTAAAACGTGCCTTTTAATGGCTAATCCAAAGTTAGAGATAGGCCTACATTTTGCATCCCAGTGATCATTATAAATAAGGAGGTTGGGTGATATGGTCTTTGTATAGATTTTTGATAAAAATTAATTGGACTGGTCAGTTTTTTCATTGATTATCCTTCAGATATGAATCTTATGTAATTGTATTTGGTTTAATAATAGTAAGATTTCAGATGTGGATACTGGCAATTTGATTTGATTTGAAATTTACATGTCTTAAGTCTTACTTATCAATTGTATATATTAGTTTCCATTAAATTGTTTCATACTAATTAATGTGTTATTTTTGTATTTCCTATCATTTCCTAAAAGCCTCTCTGACTCTAAGCTTCAATAAGTATATTTCTAATTCCTTTCTGACAACAAAGGCCTTATCACAAAACATTTCTCATGCTCTGCTTAGTTTTTACTAAAATTCATGATGCCCCTCACATCAAGAAGTTGTAAAATTTGAAGATTTATGTAATAATGACAGAAACATTGTGCCCTAATGGTTAGATTGATATTATTTTTTCTTTATTACTATCAGTTACGTAAAATCTCAGGTAAAATTATCAAAAAAGGAGTGTTACCCTATAGTTTGATTTTATGTGATGTGTTATGTGATTATGTTACTGTTTAAGGCCAGACAATTAATGTTGTTTTGTACTGGTGGATCAGTTGATTGAGGTTACAGTACATATCGCCTCACCATCTTGTTTTAATATCCAAAACCCCTTAAATTCCCTCGCATTATCTAAAATTCCTCAGATTTTCTGACATTTTCCAAAATCCTTCAGTTTCTCTGGTGTTATCCGAAATCCCTCTGATTCTCTGGCATTATCCAAAATCCCTCTGATTCCCTGGCATTATCCAAATTTCTTCAGAATATATGAACTTGCATCATCTTTTGATGCCTGACACCAAAATCATCTTATCAAGTTAAAGACAAAATAGAAAACCACGAGTGACATGCTTTGCAACATCAAATATATTTAATAATTTCAGAAAAAATAGATAATACAATATTTCCTTGTAACAATGAAAACAAATAATGTAACCTATTAAAATATTGGTTGCTCAATACAATAGGTTCATGTCAAAGCCTGTAACAAGCAAGGTAGAATTGCCATATTTCAAGGAGCAAGTTCGCCATTTTGGTGGTTGATTTGGGTCTTGAATATATTCAGAAGTACTTAACATGTAAAAGAACCTCAAGAAATGATGACTTTCAGTTTCAAACCTGGACAATTCTACACATGGATTTGAATGCTCGACTGTAAGCTGGTAACACTGATAAGCTTAACTAAAACATAAAGATCCAATTGGTGGGATGACGAACCTGTCCCTTTAAACATATCTTTTGATGGAACATTCACCTGTCAGACCTTCCTGTCCAGAATTATGCACGGAATAAAGCAGATTTTAAATACAAAAATAAATATTGCACTGATCAAATATGGAACCTAACCAACAGGTCTGATAACAGTTATCATAAGTAAAAAAAAAAACATTTAATATAAAAAAAAAAATTTGGTTGAACCATTAATTCCACCATCAAAAGTTTTATATAGCAGATAATTTGACCCTGATTACACAAATTTAAGGTAAATCATCCAATTGTCATTTTAATGGACTTTTAATGATATACAAAATGTGAGAAGTATCAAGTTTCAGAAGACAGAACAGAGAACCTGAAATGTCACATTTGCTCCAAACAGATCAATAACTAACTTTTTGCCTGACATTTTTGAGGCAAATAACAACAGAAACAACATGATAAATAACATCCACATGACATCATAATAATAAATAACATCAAATGACATCGACTTGAAAAGAAACATCAACAAGATAGAGACTGGAAAACTGATCCACACTCCTCATCAAACAATTTGATTGGATAATAATTTCATCTGCTGAATACTTAATTTTCTTCCAGAGGTACATGATCCTCTTCAGGAGCAGGGGGCCGTTTATATTCAGGCCTGGTTACTATGTAAATAACTGTGGTTACAAGGCAGACAATCATCAATCCAAGGAAGTTGGCAACATAGGCTTGAGTTGGCCTTTGACTGTAATCTTTACTACAAAATCAATTTCAGATGGTTACATAAGCCAATGTTTAGCATGATGTTGGTGGTAATCTTCACAATGTCGAGCTATGACTAATTTTGTACTAATACTAATGGTCAACGTTCTTGTTTTTTGGAGGTTAAATGAAGCATCTGATTGGATTGTATTATTGGATTGTATGCTAACAAATAAAGAGGCCCCAATAGAAAGTCTGTAAACACAAACCATATTAATATTATCAGCTTTTCTGTTGAGGGCAATTTTTTTGCTGGCATACAATCCAATCAAATCTGCATTCTATGATACTGTAATAGTGGCTATTGTAGTCAAGGTATAAGTACAAAATTTATAATAGCTTGACAATAAGAAGATGTTGGTGGTACAACAAGAAAATTTCATCTTATGATAGGAAAATGTACAATTTATACGTTTAGAAAAACAAAACTGCAAGATGATAATTATTGTCCAAAAATAGTGCCTAAATATAAAAAGCTTTAAATCCAATGCAGACAAAGAGAGATTTGAGCTGAAGAAATTTTAAAAAGATATAAGGAGTTAGGAGTAAAACTAGTCATACTTACATACTAAATATACACTTTTCGGTGATTCCCATACAGGCAGTGGCAGCAGCAAAACACAGTATAGCAATACCCCAAAATTGATGGTGAGGTAATGCCATTATACGTGTAGCCATTCCAGCTTTCGGAAACAGGAACGTTGCAAAGCCTCCTACCCACTGAAATGAGTTTTGGTTAACAAATTCTTACTTACAGGATTCAGGAATTCCATCCAAAGGTGTGGTATCATGACTCAAATTGCATAAAGGGATTGTAAAGAGGTTTTCTAAATTTTTCATGTGTAGCTGGGACACTGATAGCATCAATATTCAGTTTGTTTTTTGTGGTTCATGCAATTCCACAATAAATAAGTGTTTGATGATGTCACTAATGTCAAATATGCTTTAAACCACATAAGGCCCTTTGCAAAGACGCTACAAAAACCAATATGGTCGCATAACTCTCGGTAACAGGTCAACTGTTTATAAATTTGTAATTTTTTAGGGACTTTTGGTCTTGTTTTCCCCACCTTTGACCGTAAATAGTCATTTTACATCGCTGTTTGATCAAAAGTGGTCGCAGTCAGGTGTGACCGGGCCATAAACAAAAATGTAGCTTAATTTTCAGTGGTTTTTATTTACATGAAACATACTGTTTTCAAAAAGTATCTTAGTATTTATGGGTCTACGGATTTAAAAATAAATATTTTGAAAACCTCTTTACAATCTCTTTAATATAAAAATCTTTTAAGGCGATTCTTACCTGAAGACCAAACAATATAACTGTTATTAGACCCAGCCAACTATGTAAGGTATACAGATTGGGTATAGGATCTGGCTTTTTCAAGTTATGACTATCAAACACAGCTTTCAATCCTACCGCAACAAAAATGAGGGCAGTTATTTGCATTCCAGCATGCAACAGTTTGATATACATTTTCTTGTCATTACGGAATACTCGATAGGCTAGAATAGCTGAAAAGTAGAATATAACGTTGATGTTAATTTTGATCTACCGGTATATTTCCCTATATATTTCCCTAATACTTTTATGAATAGAAAGTAGAGGTGTTCAAATGACTTGGAAAATACCAGTTTTTCTCACATGTCCATAATTAATTCATAATTAGCTAAATTAGAAGAGAATTACCAGCAAAATACCAATGAGTGACCGGATCAAGAAAGGTCAAAAAGTATTGGTTTGTATATCCAGACTGTACATATATGGACATTTATGATTGGTTAAAACTCTTGATTATATGTTATAAGAACAAAATGATATGATTAAGAAATAGAATACACGATAATTCATTAGAAACACCAATTAATCTAATAGTTTGCTTAATTTGACACTAAAAAATAAGGAAACCCATCTTTAATGATCCAACTGGCTTAAAACAAGTTCAGAATAGTATAATATAAGCTTAATGAACTCACCATCAGAATAAAGGAAGATCATTCCAATGACCATAAAGAGTGGATGATAGTTAAATTCTAATCCAGGATTACTCTGCCAGGCAAATCCTTGTTGAAAATGTCCCATCCATACAGCAACCAACACTACCGCAGTCAATCCAAACACCTGAGCCAACAATACTAACCATGTAAAATATTTCATATCAGAAGACCGGGCAGGTTTACCAATCATATCCATTGTACTACTGAAAGTATACACATAAACTTATTTTAATGGTTTTGGATCACCATTTCTTGAGTGTTGGTTAGGTTCAAACTTAAACTTACTTCTGTCTTCATATAATATAAATATTGATTTTTCTGACTAGTATGGCATAATAATTGAGATTACTTAATGAGATGAGACTTTATTTAGAGAGTAAAATGATTATGAAATAAATGGCAAGCTTACTGTTCAGAATTCACCACGACATCAGCTTCAATATTTTTAGACCCATGTCTTATAATAGTTTGATGTCCAATGAACGTTGACATTTTGATATGAGTTAACTCAAAATGACTTATTCACTTAAGATTAAATTGAAAATGTTGTCTAACAATCCAGTTTCAAGTTTCAATATCCCTTACAAATTGTGCTTGTCACTTGACTCAACAACATTAAGAGTTCACATAAATAGCCTGATTTATTTGATTTGACCTCAACTGCTACTGAGAACGATTTGTTATTCCTGCTTCATCAACATTAAAAAGATATATAAGATTATCAAAATACTGAATTTCTCACCAACAAATATCAAATATCAAGAATGATCCTTTAGTTCCTACGATTCTTAATATCACTTTCTGTGACACTTTGCAAATAACACAGAATATTAAATAACAGAATATTGTTATAAAATAATGTCAAAACGTTTTTCAAATGAAAATTTAAACAAAACTTTACAAGAATGCGAAAAATTATTCAAAATTCGATCTATTTTAAAGAAAAAAAATTCTCAGTAAGCTAACGTATTCAAAATACTACAACATTATACGTCTGATTAACGTCACAGAATTTCCATATATATCCCAAATCCACAAATAATTCAGATTAATCCAATCTTGAAATCCTTTGTATTTCCTTTTTATTATTTAAAATATATTAAAATGTCTTAATCATTCGTTCAGTTTTAAATAATACAGAAATTAGAGCCAGACAAATGTCTTGTGGCTATCATATAGTGACAGTCACATGTATCTGATTATTACACAATAAAAATTGCAAACAAAAATAGTCCAGTTGAATCTATAGTCTTATAAAGAGACTATAAGTTTATCTGCAGTATTACTGATGAGATATATTTGAAGATGAATCGTCAAACCACTATAGACCACCTTATGATATTTGTCACAGACTTATCCTAATCTGAAGTAATCTTTTTTTAAATAACAGGAATCACATGAACACGACATTGGACAGGGATCACAATGGACCAAATACAAGCTAGAACTGTTCCAAATACACATTAAATTGATGATAAAAATTCAAACCTCTTTAGAGGTAGGAAGAAGATCAAATAGAATAAGCTTATTCACTTGATATATTTTAATTTGTATCTCTGATACTATCTGTTTAAAAAAACATTAGCTATTTAAAATTTTATTAACTGGTCATCAGGTATAAATATCATATTTCAATCTAAATTTAATGTCATTCAGACGTCATGCTGTGCCATTCTTGAAATCAAAAAGTTTGAAACATTAATCAAAAGAAACAATGATGTGACCAAACCCAGTAAAGTATGTGACTCAATCAAATTTCATTAGATTAATTTTAGATTAACAACTATCTATTTCCTTACTGTCCTTTACATACTGTCCTATTGTCCTACTGAAATTTGGATTCTAAAGTTTGACCAAATCAATATTTGACACCTTAGACACAAGAACACAAACAAATGAAACTTTTAAAAAGTAAAATAATAATGAATATTTATAATAAATTAATTGAAGAATTATGGTTTCTGCAAATTGATCTGAACATCTGAATCTGGCCGAGTATTCTTGAAACGATCTTATCGCTAGGATGTCCTAGAATCAATGTTAGAAGATAAGAACCTTGGACATCCTAGCCCTTAGATCTTTTCGAGAATACGTTGCCAGGACTTACAAACTGAGTTATCAGAACCTGCAACTATCTCAATGATTGCAATTGTAACAAAGTTCTACTAATTCAAAACTGCCAATGTGAATATTCATATATATATATATTTATATATAATGTCATTTCAGTAAATATTCCATCTAAAAAATTCATATTCATATTAAATCTTTAACTCAACAGATGTTTGCAAAAATACCTGGTATTCTCTCACAGCAAACAATTCAAATTAAAATCTTCGGTTTTTAAATAATATACATTACTGTATCATGTTACATTTTATCTCACAAGAGTTCTGTTCTCTGGTACATAACGAGGTTAAGAAAAACGATATGAACTCATAGCACAGGTTAATAACTATACATTAGGTCATGTATTCATGCACCATATAAACATAACATGAAATTCTTTAAAATTGATGACTAAATCACATGATTTTACCAAGACCTTTTTTCTGTTACGCGCAAGGACATTTAGTAGAAAGGTGTAAAATATTAAAGATAGCTTGCCAGGCAAGGTAACATACGCCCACTGGCAGCTGTCAGAAATGATTAAACAGTCTTTAGTGACTACAGGGTTGCACAATATAGCTAATAGAGTGAAACGTCAAGTCAGACACGATATTTCGGTGAAATATTATCCGATCATCGCGAAAATCAATAGGGATCATCTTCATAATGACATTGACACACAAAATAAAAATCAAAAGAATCTGTAAACAATTGTAGCCTGTAGAGTGAGCACGAGTTGCACAATATAGCTAATAGAGTAAAACGTCTGGTCAGACAAGATATTTCGGTGAAAAATTATCTGATCATCATGAAAATCGATAGATCATCATGAAAATCAATAGGGATCATCTTCATAACGACATAGACATACAAAATAAAAATCAAAAGAATCTGTAAAGAATTGTAGCCTGTAGAGTGAGCACGAGTTGCACAATATAGCTAATAGAGTAAAACGTCTGGTCAGACAAGATATTTCGGTGAAAAATTATCTGATCATCATGAAAATCGATAGATCATCATGAAAATCAATAGGGATCATCTTCATAACGACATAGACATACAAAATAAAAATCAAAAGAATCTGTAAAAAATTGTAGCCTATAGAGTGAGCACGAGTTGCACAATATAGCTAATAGAGAAAAACATCAAGTAAGACGCGATATTTCGGTGAAAAATTATCCGATCATCACGAAAATCAATAGGGATCATCTTCATAACAACATTGACATACAAAATAAATCCATAAAGAACTGTAGCCTGTAGAGTGAGCACGAGCCAAATGTGAACGGACCGACGGGTGATTACAATATACGCCCATCTTACATGTGGGCGTATAAAAATAAAGGCCCAATACGGAAAAATTGCAATGAATTTTAGGATAATATGCGTTTACTGATTGTTATGTGATAAATAAACATTTTTTGCTCATGTTTATGTAATATGAAATTTATCATAATTAAGCGTTGTTCAATAGTTGCATTTTTATTAAGTTTTTTGGATTTTCGGATTATATAAGGATCCTGTTATGTTATTTATGACACCAGGTATATCTACTGATGAATATATGCTCTGAAAGGCCAAGTTTAAAATATTTAAATTTTATGTTTATTCTAAGACGTGGTATCTCCATCAATTCAGATAAATTTTATCTTATGATTTTGTCTTTATTTGTCAAACCTCTTAAAGGCAGCAAGTTAAATTCGCCCCTTTAAATTTTTAACATTAACAAAACAAAGCAAGCCATAGTTGAAAACTTGTGAAGATTTAACCCATTTGACTAAATACATCAAAGCAGAAGCTTATAAAATTTGGTAAAATCCAATCAGTCCAAGATAAAACACTGTTATATTTACAGCCCCATATATAATAAAAGTTGAGAGGTTTTCTTTTCATGCAGACATTTTCCATTTTGGTTTCTCCAAGTACTGGTATGTTCAATTTCCACTTTCCATAAAAGGATGATATTGCAATCTATAATGATCTAGATATCAAATGGTCACATCTTATTGATAACCTCAATCAAATCAAGTAGGCATTATCAACTCATATAATGAACATAACTTGTCAAACAGTAAAACAAATTCTTGTACTGATAAGATTGATTCACCAAATTAATTTGTAAAAGATTATGAAACCTTTGAAAATGATTCAGTGTTTTTGTTTAAATTTGTGTATCCCCAAAATATTTTCTTTGCATCTGGATATAACACTTTCTCTCTTTTGAATGAAATCCTGCTCAAAACACAATAAATACTCAACATTGGGAGGATTAAGTCACATTTCCTGTTTTAATGAAACTTCACATCCTTTAATTTGAAATTACTTTCAAAATTAACAATAGCATGTTTTTATTCTTAAAGAATATTTATGAATCTATAAATGACCTACAATGCCAAATATAATATTCATGAATTGACAATCATTGTTACCATATCAATTTGGGTGCAATTGACTAGAAATTTTCATACTCTGAATACATATTGATTAATTACTTCACAAACATTAAACACACTCCTGAACACTTGATTAGTTGAATCAACTATTTCTAATGACAAATATGTTAATGGCTAGGCTATGCTAGTATGGAGGTCAAAGTTATTGTGTATGATTTAATATTGCTGATAGGCTCCGCCCACAGTTCACAAAAAGATAATGCAGTCGAGATAAAACACATTCGCTAATGCAATGTAGAAGATACTAAGACGAAGATGTAATGTAACAAGTGCAATGTAAAAGACACAAAGACAATTATGCTTTGTTCAATGTACAATGTCGAAAGTGAAAGGACATTGCACGTATCATTTTAGATAGGTAAAAGAGGTATTTTGTCTTTGAACATGTATCAGCATACCAAACATAGCATCTAATTCTGAATACGATTGACCTCCATAATGCTAGTACATTCATGTAATACAAATACGTGTACATGGTCCCTATTTCCCACACATACAGTAACAAAAATGTAGCATATCGTGGGTGACCGCTTGAAACCTCGTATAAAGATATATGACGCGAAATTACTTTTAGAGAAAAACTATTTGTGAGCGTATTTTGTTGAAATCAATCTTTATTATAATATTTTTTTACCACTGTACGTGGTTTTCATTCTTTGAAAATTCAAACCTCGTATAACAATTTGAGTACTCTGGCCTATTGAACCAATAACTCGTATAATAATACAGTACCGGTATACAAGGTTTTTCGTTTTCATCCGCAGAAAAAGGAACATTGAACATTATATAATATAATATTTTACGAGGTTTTAAATCTGACAGTTCATATACGTGTTATTTGATTAGTGTTTTTTTGGTTATTTACAATCAAGCTAGAAATAAGAGGTTTTGATCACAAGATCTGCGCTTTTGGCATGTATGAGGTTTCAAGCGGTCACCCACAATATAGTATAGTAAAAGTTTGATTTATTACCTGACCATAAATAACAATGTATATTTGATCTGTGATTTTTTACAAATTTATTTACTGCATTTAAATTCTTTTTTTGCTTGGTTTTTGAGGTTGAAAGCCAAGCTCTTACAACATAACCGTAACAAGATAGATCTAATAGCCAATTCTGTTTTATGAATAAAATGTTATAATTACAATAATTTCATTATATTGCTATCTTCTTACCCTTAAAAAAATTGACAGTAGGCCTAGACGTGTAAATTTTAACAAAGTCAGAGAAAGTGAAAAATGGTGATAAATTATGGAAAATCATATGGATCAAAACAATTCAACAGATGGCATCCAATTCCTTCATAAAATTCTTCACCATGGAAGATAAACTTTCTTACATCAACATCTATGAACAGCATCAAGTAAATCCTATAAGTTTTATTACAAGTTGATTATTATTTATAACATAAAACGCATTTTTTAATACTTACAATGTCAGCTTCCCTAGATACCTCCCGCAAGAAAATTGACTGGCTAAAAATAGTAATAGTAATTACTTCCGGTTTCATAAATTAACTGTAATTATCTGCCCATGGAAATTTCATCTTTAAGAAGATTGCTATTGCAGTATTCATATTGTTCATAGACGGAAGTTTTAATAAAGAACAAAGCGAAAATTCGCAAAATGATAACGAACCTTTCAGATAATATAAGATAAAATTGATAGAGCAATCTAACTAAAAAGTGTCTTAGATGATCAAGAATCAAGACTACAACCACCTGTTTGGGATTCCTTATGACGTCACAAGGGGGTTTCCATTAAAAAACGTACTTTGATCAGCGAAAACAATGGAGAAACTGACAAATACAATTAATAAAAGGGAGAATCTAGATAGTAGATGGAAATTAACAAGATCAAATGCAGCTGCAGTAACTCCAGGTTTCCCATGCAACCCGGAAGACATTGTCATAGTTTCTGCTCTGAGAACGCCTATTGGAAAAGCAAAAAGGGGTTCATTCAAAGTGAGTCAATGGCAGTCAAAATAGAGATGACTTCTTTTTCAGCTCATATCAGCTTGGAAATATCTCAGTTAAATAAACTGCTTAGCCATAGGTCTGACACTCTCTAAAAGGAAATTCTGACAAATTGCAATTTAGTTCAATAAAAATTGTATTCTAGGAGAATATGCTATATGTTATATAGGCCACTGGTGTGTCATTTACTTTAAACTCACAAATAGGAGGAGTGTTAAGAATTGGAGAAGTGGGGCACCCTCATTTGTTTTTATAATTGTCAACCAATTAAATTCAATTCTGTTGACCTTTCCAACTTGCATTCCATATAGTCATATATGTAAGCTTTTAGCTGTACAAATTGAATAACCTATTTAATAAAGATCCAATTATGGGAGAAATAGAACACTAACATGCGTCCCACTTCTCACCCAAAAATTCCTAATATTCTTAGTGTGACCAGAGTATTTATATATAATATATCTTCTAATATTGTGTACCTCTTCTAACAGTCATGTGTCCCTCTTCTACCTCCAGTGTCCCTCCTTACCCTTATCAACTTAGGTCCATTAAATCTTTTAAAACTTTTTCTAAGATGAACCTATCTTATCATAAATACAAATTCTCAGAAACAGCAGATTATTTGATTTCTCCCCTAAAGATCTTACCTATTTCAGTTGTCATGACAATTTATAATTTGTATTTGTAGGATACCTATCCAGATGATCTACTAGCTACAGTATTTCAAGCTGTTATCAATGATGTCAAGTTAGCACCAGCAGATATTGGAGATATTTGTATTGGTAGGTCATACAAAATCCCAGGAATTCAGTCATTTGCATTTGAGCTGTATTTTTGTCCTTTCAGTATTTGTCAAAATGGGAATAAGTCGTTGGTTGGTTAGTTTATCTCAGCCCTGCCAAGCAAACAAATATAAATGAGCAAGTATGGTATTTTCAGACAAATTTAATTAAACTGAATTTGAATTCCATCACAATTCTGTATTTTTTTAACAGGAAATGTTGGAGATCAGAGAGCAGCAGCAACTGCCAGATTTGCTCAGTTCTATAGGTAGGCCTATAGTTTAGGTTATGATCACAACAAATATTCTTTTTCAAAATGGTAAATTTAAGGACTATTAACAGTATCAAAGTAGCCTGAATGATCTAGGATGGCCATTGGTCTATCATATTTACTTCATTGATTTTGCCACCTCAAGGATTTTTACTCGCAAATTGGATAGGTACACATTGTTTTCCATCTTCTGATCATTGGGTGAATTGGAGACTATATCTTATATTGCTAAAGTTTCTAGTTAAATATCCTGTTGATTGCTCAGGCTTGATGTTATCAGCCACGATGCATTGTGAGTAGCTATACAATCACAATTGGAGACTATATCTTATATTGCTAAAGTTTCTAGTTCAATATCCTGTTGATTGCTCAGGTTTGATGTTATCAGCCATGATGCATTGTGAATAGTAGCTATACAATCACCAACATCAAGAAGTCTCTATTGTTAATCTTTTTAGTTTGTCATTTTTTTCAGCAACATTCCTGAAACGGTGCCAATCTTTACTACAAACAGACAATGTTCTTCTGGGTTACAAGCAGTTTTGAATGTAGCAGGTTTGTCTGAATTATCTGGCTTCTTAAAAGCTGTTACAGCTCTGGGTAGGCCTTTTAGTACCAACTACCAGGTATCATTGACAGTTGTTGATACTAATAGTCATTGTGGATTCAAACTTCTCTTTCGACTTTTAGAACATTTTTTTTTTTTTTTTGTAAACAATATTTTATTCATAGAAATGAAAGGGATTGGGGAACAGGCTTTCGCCTATATTACCCCTCTCCCCGGAAACATACAGTACATGATATATTAAATTAGAAAATGATAATAAAATGAATAACATGATTTTGAGCTAAACTCAACATATTTACATGATATCTACACCTCAGTGCTGGTGACATTGGTTGAAAATCTAGGTAATGCAGAATCTTTTCGTTTGCTGAATGAATTTATGATCTTGTTCGAATATGACTATTGATAATTGTTGACATTTTGTTCCGAATAAAAGTGTATTAATAATTAAATCAGAAGGGTGTAACAGAAAGAAAGTATCTCTTCGTACATCTGAATGTATTGGGCTGTAGAGCAAGTAATGTTCAGGATCTTCGAATTGGTGACCACAAAGGCAAGAGGGATTGTCTGAAATGTTTCGTAGAAATTTGTGTCCATTTAACTCGCTACAAGAAAGACAAAGACGACCATGTAGAATTTGATTTTTGCGAGTGCCGAAGAAATAAGAAGATGGTACAGGAATGTCATTTGATTTGAGAGATGCTTTAAAAGATTTTATAGTAGGTGAATTTTGTAAGTTAATAGACAGACTGTTCCATTCTCTAATGCCAGATGGTATGAAGGAACTATAGAATAATTCTGTCCTGCAATTATACTCAGTTATATTGTTAGTTCTTCTCAAGTTGTAAATGTAAGGGTTATCATTTATTTGAATTAGATTTGACAGGTAGGTAGGAGTTAATTTGTGGTAAATTTTGTACATTAGAGTTAATTTGTGGCGCTGTCGTCTCTCTTGTAGCGTTATTGCACCTCTTGACTCTTGATATAGTAGTCTATGGCTGGTACCCCTCATGGCACCGCATATAGTCCTGAGTGCGTCTAATTGGAGATTTTCTAACAGTTCTTTTAGTTTTGCAGTGCACCCATCCCATGTGACATCATAATAATCGAAGTTAGGCAAGACGAATGAATAATATATGGTTTTTAATGATTTCCTATTAAGACGATATTTCAGAGATCTAAAACAGTCCAAAGTCCTTCCAGTTTTGGTTAAAATCTCATTTATATGCTTATCCCACTGACAGTTTATTTGAAAAGTAAGACCTAAATGTTTATGAAAATCAACTTCTTTAATTGGAACATTATCTAAATTCAGTGTAGGTAGAACCGGATTCGGTTTAGTAGTCAGTGCTAGAGTTTCAGTTTTCAGCGGGTTGAAGGATACCAGCCACGTTTTAGCCCAAATATTAATCTTTTCTAGGTTATCATTTAGGACAGTCGCACTGGCTGTCGGGTCACCAATTCTCAGATATAGACTAGTGTCGTCAGCAAATAGTCTGATGTTGGATCTTATATCATTAACAATATCATTTATATAAATCAAAAATAAGCTTTGATTATGTCGCAGAACATTTTGTGACTTATGGTTAAAATATTTACCTCTTAACTGTGCTAAGAAATCAGATGCATGATGGCATGAGCTTTAGATGAGCTCTGATCAAGTAAAACAATATGATATGAATTATAAATGATATTTTAATCATTTAAGGTAGTATAAGAAATGGTGTATGTAATATTGGTCTGGCAGGAGGGTAAGTCATATAAGTAAATTTACTGGAACTGTTTATATCATTGTAGCCTTTTGGAATTACATTATGTTTTACCAATATTATAGAAAGTGTAGATAAAAGTCACATGCTATGAACACTGATGTACATGTAACTTTACCCTATATTTGAATAAGATACAACATTATCCCAATTTCTTCGTAATTGATTGAGTCCACATTGGCTATTAAATCCCAAGACAGGAGAAATCTTGGTGTCAAAGACTAATACAAAATCTTGGTGATTTCCATAAAAAGATAAATTGAGTTCCTTAAAACATAAATTTGCATTTTATTTAATAGAGATTCATATTTTACGTAGTAATTTTTAAACATTTTCAGTTTTGAGTCCATGACTCAGAGTAAAAACAGTGCCGATGGCGTGAACCCAAAGGTATTTGAGGTAGAAAAAGCTAGAGATTGTCTCATTCCTATGGGGTAAGTAAGAAAATGATTCTATTGAAAGACTTGTTAATATCCAGATTGTTAGTTTGTCAGTTGTATATAACATAAATGCTGAAATCACCAACTGCCATCAAAATTGTTAGGTGGTTATTTAGATATTTTCTTTAATTTTAGGATAACATCTGAAAATGTAGCAAATAAATTTGGAATTTCCAGACAGAAGCAAGATGAATTTGCTCTAGAATCACAGAAAAGGTATGATATAATTGATCAGGAAGGACTTCATATTATATTTTTTAAATAAGATAATATCAGTGCAAAAGAAATTTTTTGTACCTTTAGGCTTTGCAAGTTGTGAAAAAGTAAAAAATAAACTTCTAGTTCATGTATTTCAGAGCCAGTGAGGCACAAAGACTGGGATATTTCCAAGATGAAATTGTTCCTGTTACTACAACTATCACTAATAAAGAGGGTCAAGAACAAACTATCAGAGTAAGATACTTTTAAAACCAGACTGGGTCTGACTATTCACCGAAAATATGAAAATACCCATGTCCACATGCTTTTAATTTGAAACAGAATATTTATTCGTTATTTTTAACTGTTAATCTGTTGATCTTGTTTTCATTTCTGCATAGCACAGATGTAAAGGGCAACCAATAAATAAATAACATAGTTATTTAAATGAAGAAAATGAAAGTTGATAGGGTTTTACCTATACAGTCTGTTAATTCTTCTTTAGGTTACAAAAGATGATGGAATTCGACCAACCACCTTACAAGGTTTATCAAAATTAAGACCAGCATTTCAAGAAAACGGAACAACGACAGCTGGTAAATCAATTTTCTAGTCTGCATTTGACATAGATAGGTCTTCAACATGGTCCATGTTCCATCTTATTTTAAACTCTGACACAATGATATCATGATTTGGGATAACCTACCAAAATAAAAATTATAAAAGCACGTCTGTAAATTGCCAGAAGTGAATGGGTTTAAAACTGTGTAGTACACCAAAATAACATATCAAAGGTTGTATTTGCCATTTAAGGTAATTCAAGTCAAGTAAGTGATGGTGCTGCAGCTGTATTGGTTGCTAAGCGATCAGAAGCTGAGAGAAGAGGTTGGCCTGTACTGGGAGTGTTAAGATCGTTTGCAGTGGCTGGTTGTCCACCTGATATCATGGGTATAGGACCTGCTGTAGCTATACCTTTAGCCTTAAAAAAAGCAGGTAAGAATGTTGACAAAGTCATACTTTATAAGCTACTTTTATAAAATGGTATCATTTTCAGTTTCATATGAGTTTCAATACGTTTTATGCAATTTTGACACTGTCCTGAAGCTCGCTTAACATTTAAATGTTACCACTTATAATGCTTGTAATAATCACAGGTCAGAAACGACCTTTCAATATACAACGAATAAAATAAATTATTTTTTATTAAAAACTATACATGTACATCTTTAACAGTGGATAGCTAAATAAGAAGGAATTATCTGCCAGACATCAAGTGCAACATGCTTTACTAACCCCCAGCACAAGACAAATATTGTCAATACCATGGCTAAAGCTAATCAAATAGAATTGAGATATTGTCTTTGGGTTTTGTCATTTCAGGTTTAAGAATAGATGATATAGAAATTTATGAGATAAATGAAGCATTTGCTAGTCAGGCTGTATATTGTGTGGAAAAGTTAGGTATCAATCCAATCAAAGTGAACCCTAAAGGTGGTGCCATTGCTCTTGGTCATCCATTAGGTTGCACTGGATCTCGCCAGATAGCTACCCTTCTTCATGAACTGAAAAGACGTGGAAAAAGGTATTTTTTTTATTTGTTATTAAACTTGGGCTCTGAAATACCTTTTAATGTATTTTAATTTAGAGTGTTTGAAAATAGTGGTGAATTTTCTGAGTATAAATATGGTGACATGGTTTTATACATGTTTTTGTCATTAAGGGTTTTGATAGAGGATCGGCAGATAAAGTTTCCATAGAGATTGTTGGTTGATTGTCAGTAGAAACTTGTCATTAGATATCAAAGTTTATTTTACTGGTTGTATAATCTATTGTTTCTTTGTTTTTTTGTCACTAGCTGTTATATCTATTAAATGTTTTAACACACTTGGTGTAGTATCTGTTGCATATTTTATGTCACTAGGTGTAGTGTCTATTGTATATTTTAGGACACCAATTGTAATGTTTATTGTATATTTTAGGTCACTAGGAGTGGTATCTATGTGTATTGGAACTGGTATGGGAGCTGCTGCTGTTTTTGAATATCCTGGACCAACTGCTGTTAAAAGTCACCTATAATATGATGCCTACAAATAGTGATCAAACATTGTTCTTCTGTTGGGACAAGGATATGGATGTTTAGTGGGTGGTTAATCTGATTAAGCCATAGATCATTAATCAATGGAATAATAATTCTGTAAATTATAAATATTGAAGATATATTTTTTTCTAACACAAGCTCTTCTCAAATTTCATACTTGGTTGGTCAGTATAAATGAATTAATTTAAGAATGTTAATTTCAATCCATTTTTCTAAGAATCTATTATACTTTGATATTCCATTCAGAAAAGTGATACACATATCAAATCAGCCGGTAAAGCAAATGTTTAGATGACTATATTCTTTTAAATGTCTTTGTGGAAATATCTAAATGAAAATACTGGTCAATATTTTGTTATAAAATTATCCAATTCTTACACACCTGTGATTTTTTGAAGAAAAATATTTTATAGATGACTTAATTGTCTAAATTTTTGAGTTAATGTTTATTTAACAGGGTATGTCGTTCCTGTCCCTTTGTCATTTTCCCCTGTGAACACAGGAATTGAAATTTATTATGATATAGATGTCAATATCTTTGATCTTTAAAATGTTTCAGATTATCATAGATTTCCCAGTTTTGTGACATATCAAAGTACAGGTATACATTTTGGGCCCATAATCATCCTCACAATCAATCAAACTATCAAGTTGGACTGAACTACATATTTGGAAAATCATAAGCAGATTTTAAAACAACTAGCTGATAGAGCTTTGGATCTCTACCCCAGTGAACAAATGTAGCTTGCTAATGAAAAGGAAACTCTCGCTTATTACTTGAAATTGTTTTATTTTAAGTCCCAATCCCTAATAATAATTTTTAACTATAACAATAAATTTCTCTGTCCTTCACTCAAAGCTTTCTCAGCAAGATCAATTTTTAATAACAATTCTTCACCAGCTTCACTTTTAATCTTTTTCTTCTTTAGAAAGTGCACTAAGAATAATTTAAGTCCTTCTTGTAAATGTTTTAATTTGTCATTTGCTGCAACTTTATGAAATATAGATTGGATCACATCTTGAGAATTGGTCAATAGTAATTGTTCTAATAATTGTTTAAGGAAATTCACCATGGGTTTGTCTAGAGTTCCGAACTCAACAACCTGAAACAAAACAAAAACCTGGTTTAACTTTGAATGTCTTTATTATGCAATTTACCTTAGATCATTTCATTCCAGATGAATTGATCTTTGAATGGCATTTAGTAAAGGTGTTGGATATAATGAAAAATTCTTATGGATTACAATTACTAACTTTATTTGAGCGACGTTTCGGCCAGCGTTCTCTGGTCTTTATCAAGCAATGAATAATATTACAAAGATTAACAAGCCTATATATAGGTAAAGAGAAAACAACATAACAAAACAAAGGATTAAGAACCCAATTAAAGCATATAACTGCTAATGTGCTGCTAATAAGGTGATCATAGGCCTTGGTAATGAAAACTCCAGGATCTCTGTTGATTGACGGAATATGTCTTCTTATTTGGATGGCTTCAATAATTTTCCTTTCTTTTCGAAATGTCGCTCAAATAAAGTTAGTAATTGTAATTCATAAGAATTTCTTCATTACAACTCACTAAATTGTTACATTTAACAAAAAAAGTTTGAAATTAGAAGAGTACTTACCTTTAATATTGATAATGTAATGGCCTGATGTCCTAACTGATGATTTATAACTTGTATTAAATTATTACTGTGCCTTAAAGATAGATTGCCCATTTCTTTAAACTTATCCCAAATATAATACTGTAGGGTCATCTGTAATATCAAATATAATGTGGTGATTTCACTAAAGGAAACTGATACTACAATACTGTAATACAAATACATATGGATCAAACCTCACAGAAATGTGTCAAACATTTTAGTAAGATGACTGAACCTATCTTAACCCCAGCATCTGCGATCATTGATGTTTCTTCAAACTCCATATAAATCCTGCCACCTGTGTGCATTGATGGAAATTTTGCAGGAAAAGGGGAATATTTTACTAGCTCCGAGTAATAAACTAAAGCCTTTTTTAAACGGCGAGAATTTTGCAAATTTGCTCACATATGCAAATTTACACACTTTTGCAAAAGTATATTTACTGTCCCTTAAGTAAATCTCAAGCAAATTGACAATTTGTCATAGCCATGGTAGGATCAGACTAAAAAGTCTCCGCTAGGTTTCCATATTTTCTGGGAGTAGCTAACTCTGGGTTGTACAAATGTTAGTTAACTAAGAAGAAAACCTAGGTCCAAGGAATGGTTTGACTAGGCAATGCCAATAAACCACACTCAAAATAGATATTGAGGAATATACCTATTGTAAGTAAATTTGCTCACAGTTGTAGCATTTTTACTCACCTCAGTAAAACCCGCACATTCGTCCATACAGTCAAATTTGCTCACATAAGTAAATTTGCACATGTGCTAAATTATACATACATGTGTAAATGTCACAGTATAAACAAGGCTTAAGAAGACAATCCTACCTGAAAACGTCTGTCAAATTGACAGAATTTCTGTACAATATAGGAATAGTATGCATTATAGTCTTTCTCTTGCAGACAACATGACATTATGACATGAACTATTTCCCTTTCTTGTTGATTCTTCAGTCCTAATTTCAATAATTTCTCAAAGGCATCCACAAAATCCTAAAAACAAATATTGTAAGGTAATCATGGTAATTTTTTTACCCATCTACAAATATCCCTTTTTGTCTTTTGCAAATTTGTTTCTGCATAACTGAAAGCTTGGTAGATTATTAACTTTTCTAGCACTATATTTACCTCACTTGTCATAAGAATAAGAAAGATACATTTTCTGGTATCCGTATTCATTCTGAGTTTTTGAGCTAACTTTAATAATGTGGCATTAGCTTCACTCAACATTTTACTACTGGAATCTGCTATACCTAGAATAAGATAATAAATTTACAGCTTATTCTTAAGAACTATATTCCTTGCCCATTCCTCTTACTCTGATGCAACAAAGCTGAGATTGTCAATTTGATACAGTGATTCCAAATAGTTCACATCATAAGATTAACATTTTTTATTTACTTCAAAGTAAGATTATTCACTGAGTTTACTAATATATTTTGTATCTATACTATAGTCCAATTGCTTAAGTTAAAACTGAATGCGACAGTTTAAAAATTTGGAAAAATTTATAACCAAATAAATACAAGTAATACCTTACATACCTGAGTGGTTGTGATCTGTATCTCTACCAGACCAAGCTGAACCTACCAACCACCATTTACCATTATTATCAGCTTGTAATAAATCTTGATAAGTTATACAGATCTGATTACTGGATGGGCCATTACCTAGAATTATTACATAGAAATCGTTATTCACTGGTCAAATATAGTGGGAACTATAGAGTTTTTGAATTCACTTTCATTAATTCAAGCACTATTTCACTAAATAAAAAAATTAACATTTATAATCCAGTATTGCTATACATTAAAGATTGAGACTCAAATTGTCAGCTCAAGGCCTTTAATGTCACTTATTATGGGAGTTTATTACAGTAGTATTTCAACAAGATAGAACCTTTTGGTATCTTTGCAAAGCTGAATTGCCCAATTCTGCTTTGGCCAAGGTTAAATTTCCCCAAAACTATGGATCCAAAAATGAATCCTATAAAACCTACCTTTGACTATATTATTCAACACTTGTTTCAAATGTTCTATACGCGTAGGATCATAATTAGGTATTTTTCTCATATTGTTATTTTTAATAGCTAGAATTATATCTAACATGAACTGTATTCGACTTTTCTCCACTTTGCCGGTTTTCTCAGTTTCTGTGGCTTTACTTTGCATCTGTTGTATTATTTCTTTCAGTTGAACAGGATTATCTTTACGTAGGTTGAACCCAACATCTAAATAATAGAAACCATTTTATGTTCTTTCATTTCATTTTCATGTTTACCTCTTTTTGTATGTGGGCATATTGAAAAATTATCCCAGGGGCAATATTTTTTTCAAATTAAAAGTTCATATTATTGAGAAAAGCTTTTAAAAAAGACTGTTCTGCTACTAATGTAAGCATTGTTAATTTCTGTTGCCCAATGGAACCCTTACTTGAATTTTGAAAATAATTTGAAATACAGAAGACAGATGAAGTAATACTACGAAAAAAAACAGAATGGAGATTTGTATTCTGATAAATATTAAACTTACTTTTAATAATAAACAATAACAACTCAATATCTCTCTCTGTAAAATTCTCCATCAATTTGTGTACAATATCAAATATCAAACTACTGTGAATCACCTAAAAGTATTATAAATATAGTAAAATATTAAATATTGCTATGCCATACATGATTCTTAAGCACTATTATCTTATTCTATGTATGGCTACAAATAAGAGCCATGAACAAATATTGTAACTTAAAATTAAGTACAGCATCCCAAATTTCACAAAATTTGCTATTCAAGATAAAAATGTATGTCAATTACAAAGATAGTGGACCACAGCCATATACGCCCACCACGGCATGCGGATGGTAAAAACGAAACATCAATTTTAAGTTTCATCAAAATCGGTTGAAAACTAATAGCATATTCAAGATGGACCGATAGACAGACAGATGAACCGATGGACCTTCGTTTCATGAATATATATGCACATACTGAATTTCATTTGATTCCTTCAAACACTCTAGTTTTTTAGTTTTTAGAGTGTTTACGAGCAATTGATGTTGATAGAAGCACTTACTGTATAGAGGTTAAAGGGCGATAACTCCTCAAAACTGACATAAGAGGCCTAAATCTTGAAAAAGCCTTAAATTTAATCAGAAGTAAACTAAACTTTCATCAAAAGAGTTATAGCATATTCAAGATTTTTTGGGCAAGGGCAATAACTCTGCTTCTAACGGTCGAAAATAGCTCAAATTCGAATTTGATCTTCGTTTTATGAACATGTATACCCATACCAAATTTCATTTGATTCCATCAAAAAATCTAGGTTTTAGAGCATTTACAAGCAAATGTTGACAGACGGAACGACGGAATGTTTACGAGCATTGATGTTGATAGAAGCACTTACTGTATAGCGGTTAAAGGGCAATAACTCCTCAAAACTTACGTAAGGGGCCTAAATCTTGAAAAAGCCTTAAATTTAACCAGAAGTAAACTAAACTTTCTCAAACCTTTCCATTTAAGTCCAATAACATCCGTTTTAAGTTTCATCAAATTTGGTTGAAAACTAAGAGAGTAAAAGCATATTCAAGATTTTGGGGCAAGGGCAATAACTCTGCTTCTAACAGTCGAAAATTGCTCAAATTCGAACTTGATCTTCGTTTTATGAATATATATACACATACCAAATTTCATTTGATTCCATCAAAAAATCTAGTTTTTAGACATCAGACATAATTGTGAGCAATTCATCTATATAAATATGACAAGGTAGGCCTACCTGGTAATTATACAAGGTTGTGACAATCATAAGGATATTTTCTACAGTTTTACCACTACCATAATTACTTTTACATAATTCTTCATCTAACTTAGTAATAACAGTCTGTAGAAAATAGGCACCTACAATATTAGCATTCCAATAGATAAAGATAGTGGACCACAGCCATATACGCCCACCACGGCATGCAGTAAATATTCAAATTTTGGGGCAAGGGCTATAACTCTGCTTCTAACTGTCGAAAATAGCTCAAATTCGAACTTCGTTTTATGAACATGTATACACATACAGAATTTCATTTGATTCCATCAAAAAATCTAGTTTTTAGAGTGTTTACAAGCAAATGTTGACAGACGGACGGATGGGGGTGCCCACAATATATGTCCACATAGAGAGATGTGGGCGTATCAAAAAGTGCTATTAGTACTTTTATTGAGTAATAAGGGATCTTTTTATGACTCACAGTAAATCAAAATGTTAATGGCCATATAGGAGCTAATGCCAGAGGTCAGAGGATAAGACTTTCAACTGCCATCTAATAGATTAGTATGCTTAAACTAAATCTTAATAAAAAATTTTGAAAGCTAAGGATTCAGAATCTTTTCTGACACATAAAAGATTAACCCTTACCAATTTCCATGCCTACTCTACAATGCAAAACGGTCAATAATAAGATGAGTTCTTGAATTAGTCGTTCTGGGGTCAAGGTCGTTTCTATGGAGGCAGCCATGATAAGGTCTGTCAATGTTTGGTTGATATCAGCTCTACTATTTATCAAATAAAACTCTTCTATTTGGTTACTGATCGATTGAATATTACTTTCACTGGCTCTAAAATACCATAAACAAGAAAAACGTAGGCCAAATTATTCAGATGGAGGAATTCCCTTTAGGCCTACTTTTATCTCATGTTACCATTAGGTCCCTTAAATAGGTATCGAAAGCACAAAATCTTTTATTTGAAGTTTCTTTTATTCTCTGATAAAGGCTCAAAGCCATTTCTTGCCTCAACAAGAATCAAGCTGTTGATATCTTGAAAGATTTAAAAAAAATGTTTTCAATAATAATCATCAATACAAGACCTACCTATTTATCAAGCCCTTAAATTGTTTCTTTAATTTCTCTAGAACTTGTTTCCTATCCTCACTGTCAGCCATCATCATGGCACGTTTGGCAGGGGGTATGTATGCCCCACCCCCAACAATATAAGCTTTTGCCTTGACAACCCCCTTTGGATTTTTAACACGGCCATATATATCCTCTTTTTCTTCTTCTACCTCTTCTTCTTCTTCTAACTCTTCTTCGCCTTCTTCACTTTCAGATTGTTTAGAATACTCCATCTTTCTTTTCTTATTTTTCATATTCTGTAATTGGGGCTCATTTGACTTTTTGCATTTGGGCTCTTTAATCTCCACCAATTGCTCATTCCATGAAATTTTTTTCTTATTACTACTTTTTGGATTTTTTTTCATGACGGATTTCGGACTAACCCCGTTTTTCAAGTCACTAGATTCTGAGTCACTTCCTGACTCAAAGTCACTATCCTGTACGACTTCTTTAGAGTCACTAAGATCTGAACTCTCTTCATCATTAGATTCATCTTGGAACTCCTCATCAATATCAGGTGCTATAATGAAGGAATATTTTTTTTATATCCAATAATAAGGGAATATTTTGAGAATCAAACAATATCACATCTGAATTATGTCTTAATCTTGATTGAGAGCTTGAAGAGAATATAGTCCTCTATATACTGATAGAGCTCCAATTCAGCTATCCATGTCACTTTTTAGAAAGTAAATCTAATATGCAAGTAAAAAAACACTTTGTTATTTCCAGGAATTTACTAAAATTAATATGACTAATACAAATACATTTCTATAACACCTACACACGTTGAACTGGCAACTGTAGCTACCTGATTTCATTAGATCTTCTTCATCTGATTCATTAAACCAGTCAGGTTTCTCTTGATCATAATCAATTTCTTCTTTACCATCTATTACTTCTAACAAATCTTTTATCAGATAAGGGCACAAATATGTATATATATTGTTATAGCATTAGACAGACAGAGGAAAACCATTTCAGTCTGCTTGAATCATCCCATTTAATGTAAATAAACATTATACAAATTTCATTTGACTATGATAGGCTGATATAGAAAATAAATCAATTGAAATTAACTGCAAAATCAGCATAAAAATTCTCCCTTGGTCCATAAAATTTTTTCAAAATATAAGTACTGGTACCCATTATTTCATCCAGAAATAAATAATATGTATTTAAAGTCAGCCCAAATTGTGAAAATCTGTCCAATAGTTCTACAGATAGAACAGTTCCCCTTAAAATTACTGAGAAATTCTTATTGGCATGTGTTTTTAAAGGATACAGTCTAAACCATCATTTAGAAAGCCTTGTGGTAAAGTTCTTCTTTTCTTGTTTAAATTCAATTTCTTCTCGAGATCTTTCAAAGATTTATCTTCTACTTTATTCTTCCTCCTTTCCTCTCTTTCTTCTTCTTTCTCAGCATCTTTTCTAGCTTTTTCTGCATCTCGCTCAATCTGAAATTCATGACAATCAATGCCAATATCTTCAGTAAGCTTAAAGTATAATAGTCATCTTTAGAAACTACAGTAGAAACCTTCCAAATCTAGGTCAGGACTTGCATCTCTGACACAGGCGTCAGGTTAAAATAAAAGAAAAAGTTTAATATCAGCCTAATTAAAATTATACCAATCATTCGTTTTTAGTTCTTAATTAGTTTTTATTCCTAATATAGCCACTTCAGTCTAAAGACTGGCCTCTTAAACATTGGTCAAATCAACCTTTTGACCTAACCCTGCTTTAACCAATCAAATTTCTGCCATCTCCAGCGCTGGCATTTTGTGAGAGAGTGAAGGAATTTGATTGGTTAAAGCAGATGTCTTCCGATTAGGTCAACAGGTTATTTTGAGGAATGTTCAAGAGGCCAGTCTTTAGGCTCTAACTAAAGGGAATATTAAAAATTAAAGCTAATAAAAAATGGAACAAATGTTTGGCCTAATTTTAATTGTTACACTGCTTTAATACAAAATGATGGACAACAGGTGTTTACTCAAAGTTTATGCAAAATAATACTACAAATTGAAAACAACGTCAACAAACCTTGTTCTGAATTTTCTTTTCTTTCAGTTTATCTATCTTATTCTGAATCTTTTCTTTCTTTTGCTTCTTTAGGTTGATTTCTTTCACAAATTTCTTTTTCTTCTCGTCTAGATATTCATCTAAACTTGGCAACTATAAAGAAAGAGGGTAGATAAGATTTATAATCTTAGTCTCAGGAGAAATAAAGGCATACTGTTTTCCAATTATTCAGATTTAATTAATCTAATAAGCTTACCTTCCATATGGCAAAAGAAATATTTTTGGAAATTCCCCAGACCAGTAAATTCCTATACTGCTGAGTTCCCAACTCAATGGTTGTTTTATTTACTAGTCAGCATATACCATACTATTATAAGACATACGTCCACTACCAGCTGTCAGAAATGATAAAGTCTGTAGTGGTTTAATATGTGAAACCAATCATCCAAATGTTACTAATTTCAAGCTTTACTGAGATCTCATATCAAGTTTCATCAAAAAACTAATAAAAAATGTAGTCTCTATCAGGCCTGCAAGCCAAATAAGATGCATTGAATTAATTCAAGAGCCATAACTCCAAAACCATTCATCCAATTATTACCATTTTTTAACTTGAGATCTCATCGATGTGTACATGCATACCAAGTTTCATTGAGATCAGATAAAAACTGCACCCAATATCATGACTACAAGCAAAATTTGAAGCGTTTTTACTAAGTCAAGGGCAATAACTCCAAAAGCATTCATCCGATTATGACCAAATTCAAACTTGACCGAGATCTTATCAATGTATACATGCATACCAAGTTTCATCAACATCAGATAGAAATTGCGGCCTTTATCTTGCATACAAGCCAAATTTAACGGGTTTTTACTAAGTCAAGGGCAATAACTCTGAAATCCCAATTATCACCAATTTCAAACTTGACCTAAATCTCATCAATATATACATGCATACCAAGTTTCCATGTGGGCGTAAAAAAAGGCCTTACCATAGTAAACTAAAAACTGCACAAATCAGGATCCTAGGCCAGGTTCCCTAATTTTCTTTTATTTATATATATTCCATTATTGGACTGCTAATACTTATATATATGGAAAGTAAAGATGTTCTCATGATTGGGAAAAATACCAGTTTGTCTCAAAAGTGAATAATCAATTTATAATTAGCTAACTACGAAGGGATTCTAATGATCAAACGGTCACTTAATAAAGATTATCAGGTCTCACAATTTCCATAAGGGAGTTAGCTCTACATGTGCCTTTTCACAGCCAAACATACCGCCAAATACCAACCAACAAATATAAACTTTCAATGGCTATGTTTCCAAAATAGGGAAAAAGACGATGTTTTTTTCATTTTTTGAATACACACAGTATAGGTTACTTAATAACATTAAACACGGTTGAGATAATAATTCTTTAAACAAAAATGTGGCAAGATCTATTTTAGTTATTGTGTAAACAAGAAATCTATATTTAGCTTTTCAATAGGGTTTCAGTCAATTCAATCCCCGCTTTTTTTCACATCCTCACACAATCTTAACATTCACGAGTATTTCAATTATTCATTAGAAACATTAATTAATCAAACAATAAGCATGATTTGACCAAGAAAAATAAACAAAGGCATAATTTACATGTTGGTAGGGTAGGCCTACTTTCGTTGAATACCAGTCAGCAGAAAATTTCTATGAAACACAAAGTGGACCATATTCTTATGTTGTTTCAGTGACTTTTAGCAATAAATCACACTACGAATCTTATTTTGTCAGTCACTATTTTTTTTTTTAAATCGTGGTTCTTTGAAGAATTGTCACTAGTTATAATGAATTGATATTAAAGACAAATACTAAGAGAAGTTAATTATACCACCCGGTATCCATACAACGTGTTTTTCTAGACTTATTTATAGATCAAACATTGTACACGAAAATAGGTGACGCGTTCTGCCGCCGTTGCCGAGTTGGTTGCTCATGAAATATGCGTCAAAGTGAAGGATTCATAAAGAAAATCGAAATATACCAATTTTAATTATCTTGTAGAATATCTGACGAAACATATAAGACATATAAAAAAAAATTCGCTTTTTTAACTTTGACGAAATTCGGTGTTGAATCCTTATATCCACGAAAATCGGTTACACCACTGTACATTATTACATTTTACCTTGCTTGAAACTACTGGATTCATTTACTAGCTGATATTGTACAGACGACCCATGTTATCAAAACAAACTAATGCGGAGGTCGCTCATGTAAATCATTAACCATTTCCGGAAATCCACGAATAATAGGTTTGCACGAAATTAGGTTACTTGACTGTATAAATTTTACTTTAATAACTGATCAATACAAATTTATTGCGTTACCATTTTTACAGATTTGTTACCGCTGTAACTATTAAGATTTGTTACCGTTTTTACCTGTGGTTTGTTGTTTTTTTATAACTGGAAGTGGAATTTTTTGATACCCTTTGCTTTTCCTAAACTTAATAAGGAACAAACAATTAAACCATAAAAGAAAAACCACTTACACTATCCTTCCTGCTAAATGCATTTTTCTTAATCTTCTTCAATTTCCTCATTTCTTTACGTTTTTGTTTTCTTGTGAGGCTGTCATTAACCAAGTTTATTTTGAACATC